AGTAAAATAGTATTTGTGCAACAATTGCAGCAGTTTGGACCGGTAGGGGAAACACCTGCACAGTCAGGACGTGCATGGTGCTACCTCTGCTCTGTAGGAGCCCCACGTCTGCAGTGTTCCCTGGCTAACAGCCCACCTTCCCCCCAGGGACCAAACGTAAAACCGTGCTGTTTCACTGCAACAATGAAATATCCTTGAGTTAAACAACAACCTCCATTAGAGGAAGCAGGATGCTGACCACCAGGAAAATCAGTTAATATCTCCGGCATGGTTTCAAGAAAGTATAGAATAGTTTTATCTCTGCATGGACTAGTGTCACAACATGTTGTGGAATTAAAGCATCCAGATTGAGTATCAGGATCAGTACCTTCATCGTAAACCTGCCATGTCCAGGTTTACATGTGTACAGCCCCCCGGTGGAGGATGTACTGGTGTTGGGGCAAATTAAAAAAATTAAATAAAATGTCACAGATTGTTAAATACTTTTTTATATTTACATATATATACATTAGTCAATAGCACTTAAATGGTTGTGATATACATAACTTTCTAAGATTTCAAATCATTTAAAGTGCATTCAATGTTTTAGTCATATTTGACTGTTTTCCCCTGAAGTTTAGCCATGTTTTCTGATTGATGATTAAAAAGTTTTCTCTGTTTGCACTTCCTGTTTTGAGTTTCAAGCAAGAAAGCTAAACCTTTGATGTATATGTTGTGTTGAAACCCTTTGATTTTGTGCTATAAAAAACTTTTAAAATCTTTCTTCAAATGTATTTATTTATGTATTAATTAATTAATTAAATCATGTATTTATTTATTGATATATTTATTTATTTATTTATTTATTTAAAGAACAAATCTATTTCATGAGCTTGAACTTCTGCACATACTGACAACTAAACACTTTATAATTTCAATAATGACCAACACGTATCTCTTAAAAAAACTGTTTTAAGGGTAACAATAAGTACTAATTAAAAGTTTGTTTAAAGAAAAAGTCTTGATCAATGGTTTGTTGGTTTGTCGAACAAAATCCTTTAAAACGGATTATTTAGAGGTTCCAAATTATTCTAAACCTTTGAGATAAAGGTAAGTACAGTATATGATAAAATATTACCGTTGGCACTATTGCAGCATAATTTCTCTGAAATACAAGTTATTTTTGTCAGTCTGAATTTAAACCTGAAAACAAAATAAGTTCGTTTCAGTGAAACTCCATCCACGCCTGCTCTGACAAAATGTGCCTACAACAGCATCCTGGGTGAGTCAGCTACTGTATTGGCTACGGAGGTCCAGTGGTAAAGGCGTCTGTCTGCCATTAACATTTCCATATGCAAACGTAACTCCCGATGGTGTCGGCAGTAATTTATTCAGCCAGTTGAAGCAGATTTCATGCTTTCATATTTTATTTTAATTGATTCTTTTCAGCAAAATATTTTGTGTTTCTAAACATCTTTGAATTTGGTCATTTCCAAACAGCATTTTAGTTGATTTACTCAGCACACCTCACATGGTCTCACACTGGCTAAATAAAGTTAGTCCTTATATTTTAAACAGTTAACCAATAAAGGGTTGGAAACATAATACTGGCACGTGTAGCTAAGAAAAGAAGAAAACCAGTTTCTGCTGAGACCAGGATGTGAAGCTACACAAAACTGAATACCAGCCCAGCACTCTAACCACTGGACTACCAGGTCTATTACATGGAATCAGTCGCCTAACCCCTTCTTTCCACCGGAGCCGTCAGCAGCCGTCAGCAGCTGTCAGCAGCGCGAGTCGGCCGCATCTCAGGAGCAGCATGTCGCGGCCCTTAAGCTTGGTTTATGCTTGACGCATTCACTTTCCGCTTGGTGATGCGGCTCGCGGATGGAACGCGCTTCCCAACTCGCAGCGTTTATGGTTCATGTGGCTTGTCTCCGCGGTGAGCCAATATTCTCCCAAACTGTAGGGGGCAGCATGGAGCTCTACGGCATGCATCCAACACTACACCATAGTAGAAGTAGAAATTACTGTTTACAACATGGCATTCCAGCATTTTTAACAGCGTCCTCGTCTTTTCCGACAGTGCGAGATATTTCTCTCCAAGAATTATTAACAACATGTTGATCACGTTGATCTTTGAGAGCTGAATCATACAAATGTCTGTATTTACGAACCTCTGCCATACTAGTTCTTGCCAGTCTGCCATGTTTTTCCACGTCCAACCGTCCGTGTGGTTAGAAAACTTCCTAGGTGCGCGGTGCAGAAATTTTGGGCTGTGCGGAGGCGCGGTGAAGGGGCGTGGTTGTTAAAATGACGCAATTTCGCCTCGCGGACGTGTCAAGCATAAACCAACCTATACGCGCCGGTTCTATTTTCTACGCGCGACGCCTCTGAAACGGGTCAAGTTCGACATTTTTGGGGAGGGAAAGACAGGAAATTGGTTGCGGAAACGGAGAGAAGCTCCCGAGATTTTCAGAATAAAGAAACGTTCTGCCTTTCGGTTGCTTTACTTTAAAAAAAATTTACCAACTGTGCGGCCCCGTGAGAAGTCATCACCTAGCTAGCGGTCTCCTTTGTTTTTCAGGTCCATATTGGCGATTATAAAACGGACAGAACATAAAACACAAAACTTTTGGAGCCATGTTGTAGTTTGCTCCTGCTTGTTGTTGTGTTTACTGACGAAGTCACTCGTGTGACTTCGTGCTCTGTCGGTGACAGCTGCTCCCCTGCTGCTTCGCGTCTCGTGGGAAGGACCAAGCAGCAGCTTACGAGAGCAAGACGTGCTGCTGCAGTAACGTGCTGCTGACGGCTCCCGTGGAAAGAAGGGGTCAGCCACATATCCTGTGCTGGCCAGGGGAGACAGGTTTCAGACCAGAGACTAGCTTCCAGGAACAGGGCTTGATGGGGAGACTAGTTTCCATTGACGCTTGCAGGATTTTCAAAGTAAAACTCAGAATTTGCAGCTGAAACAGGAAAATGCATGAATGCAGCCAAAAACGGGACTTGAGTTTATTTTCCACGAGGAAATAACAACATCACAAGGTTAAAAGCTCCAAAACGTGGATTTTCCATGACACAGCCCCTTTAAGTTTATGATGATGACAACCTATATGAGTAAATAGGTAGAAGACACAGTAACTAGTTAGCTTATACGGTAACAGTTAATCTGTACTGTGGGAGTTTAGCTTAAGCCATTGTGGAAACCAGAGGTGTCCAAACTTTTCAGGACAAGGGTCAACATTGTCAAGTTTAAAGTTCCCATAAATGTGGTGATTTTCTTTTTTAGTGCAAACATTTATTCATGGTGACTTATTTCACTGGAACTGTTCCAAAATAAGCTTAAAATAAGATAATTATTAAAAATCTTATTTTAAACACTGTCCTGCACAGTTGTAGAAATGCTAGTGTGGGCAGAACCAAATGAGTCTGAGGGCCACTAAAGACCCCCAGGCCACACTTTGGACAAACCTGGTCTAAACTTACTAATAACTTGTTAGCAGCACATGTTAGCTTATTTAGCAGCTAATTTCCACTAGAAAGAGATTTATTCTGCACTTTAATAGAAATAATTTACAGTTTTCAGGGGGAGGCAATGAACATAAGCTAAGCTAAAAGCTAATTCAGGTACATTAGTCTTGCTTTTATGTTTAAAAAGATTTAATCAAATAAAGACTAAAAAATATTTCTGTATTAGTATTTTATCATGTGAACAACAGTTGATTATATTTTTATTCCAGAATGGAGGAAGATTATAGGATTTTAGTTAAGCTGGGTTGCGTGTTGTGGTAAGGGATGTGTGTGTGTGTGTGTGTGTGTGTGTGTGTGTGTGTGTGTGTGTGTGTGTGTGTGTGTGTGTGTGTGTGTGTGTGTGTGTGTGTGTGTGTGTGTGTGTGTGTGTGTGTGTGTGTGTGTGGGAGTGAGGTCCTGAACCAATTTCTCTACTCTGCTGACTGTGGCAGCGTTTAAAAGTTGTGTGTGTGTGTGTGTGTACCAGCTCGTTTGATCACCAAGAAATTCCTCTCGTGTCAAACTTCCTCCAACTCTCAACTTCAAAAAAATAAATAAATATAAAAAATACAGAAAAAAATCAAAGAGTATCTTGAAGCAAGAGAAAGAAAATCACCCGGAACAACCACTGAAAACAGCACTCAGAGATGTGTATCAAAATATCATCAGTCATCTTTTCCTCCAAGAAACACGTCCAGGAGAACAAAGGGAGGAGGAGGCGGGGGGGCGGAGATGAAAGTGTGGACAAAATAGCCTGGCTGGCGTAAGTGCTGCAGGTGGGAGGTAAATTGAAAGGGGGCCGGGGAGTTAGGTGATCTGTTTCCAGCAGAAGATTAGACCTACATCCTCCAAAGTGGGGCACAAGTGTCCTTGGACGTTCCGCTTATTCTTTTTCCTCTTCCTCTTTATTTGATGTTATCATCATTGACTTGAAATAGCTTAATATTTGTGCACTCCCTCATCCAACAGCAATTTCATCCTTGAGAAGGAGGTCGAGGCGGCAGAATAATGCCTCATTGTCTGCGGTGGTTTCAATAAGCGCTTTGTTGCTAGAAAATCACGACAATAATTTGGTTTGAGGGGGGGGGGGGGGGGGGGGGGGACAATGCTGTTGGTTGGACATTGTGTTTTCAAGGGCACGATGATGAGGATGGTGTCATTTGAGAGGAAGAGAAGAAGCACTGGAAAACACTGTGGATGGCTTCATAATGCAGCTTCCATTAGCCAGAACGGCTCATCCAAGGTGATATAAGGCTAATGATTAGCATTCAAAAGACACTTTAGTTCAATTGCAGCGGTCAGCAGCACATTGGTATGCATCTCATATTAAATGCACCACTAAAGATATTTGACCTGTGTGTGTGTGTGCAAGTGTGTGTGTGTGTGTGTGTGTGTGTGTGTGTGTGTGTGTGTGTGTGTGTGTGCGCGTGTGTGTGTGTGTGTGTGTGTACACACATCCCCCAAAAAGACTTCAAAACAAGAAAAAAAGGAAAAACATGCAACAAAAATACCTTCGTCTCGAGGCTTGTTCATTGAAGATTCATCAGTTTTTTTTGTGAGCGGACCTAGGGTTAAGAAAAAAAGGGGGGAAAAAGAGAAAAGAGAAAATTCAAAAAAGATTACTGGCAAAAACCGCTTTTGTGTAAAAAAAAGAAAAAGAATATCAAAAAAGAAAAGAAGCAAGAGAAAAAAGGACAAATCAGCAAGAATTCATGTTGGCTTAGTGTGTGTGTGTGTGTGTTTGTCTTTAAAAATAGTAAGAAAAAAAGCATCACAAACAGATTTACCACAGGAAAAGACACAAGATCAAAGAAAAGCGTTTTAGGATATGATTTCCTTTTCCTCCCCTGCAGAAGAAAATGGCGGCCATCGTTTCTCTATCTCTAATCCCTGTTTTTCCTCTCGGTTTGGATGCTGGTCGGAAGGTAAAAAGTGAAATAACCCGGCCTTAGTGGTTTGAAGAACAGGACCCAGCCCTTTCCTCCATGAAAAAAGACACACTGGTTTTAAAATCTAAAAGAAAAAGGCGACAACCTGAAAGGAAGAAGTTTGGGTTTGGGTCCTGATGCTCAAACGCAAAAACCTCATAAAGGTTGTTGTTGTTGAACGTGAGGTAAGAAGACCTTTTTAGAAAAACACACCAGAGACAAAGACACCTTTAATTGGACAGCCCTGCAGAGACAACGACCCTGTAATGGTAGACAGCATGTTAAACATGTTTCAAGTAAAACAGGAAACAGGTGGTTTGGTGTTTGGAAGTGTGTGTGTTTGTGTTATTTAGTGTTGAAAGTGAAGAGCTATTCTCCAGGCAGGTAAATAATTACATGGCACAACAGCAGCACGTCGATTTGAAATGACAAGTAAGCGTGACGCTAATTGCACAGAGGAGTTCAGGTAAAAAAGGTGAGAGTAATTTGAGCCCCATCAGCCCGTTGGCTGCTGCTGGTAAATTAAAAGAACGAGGAAAAGGGAGAAGGAAAACAACCTCCATCTTTCCTCCATCTGTTAGAATAAACATCGCTGTGGTGATGGACACGTTTGCCACTTTCCTACATCCACTTGAGAAGTTTAAGAACGTCGTAAAAGCCAGGTATGACTTTTGTCACTTAGGGCATTCTGCTTTTCCTGCCTCCTGTAAGAGTCAAGCCCATCTTCCACACGATGCAGCGTCGGTGAGATGGTTAACCTTTTGAAATAGATTTAACCCCAGAAATTCACTTAAAAACAATGTGCTTCCCTAGTCCACTTTTTTGCAGAGGCAGTTGCGTTTTTTTGGTTTTTAGAATGCCCCTGGCTTAAAGGGGTTAAATCTACACATATCTACACATAAACACACATCTGAGTACTGAAGCTAAGGATGTAATCTGTGTCAAAAAACCTGACTTAAGAAATATACAATTTTAATGACAGCTTTGGATTAAGGACAAGGACAAAAATGTTCTATTTGATTCAATTCAGTTTATTTATAAAGCGCCAAATCACGACAAGAGTCGTCTCAAGGCACTTCACACAATAAACGTTCCAATACAGGTCAGTTCATTAGGCCAATCAAAAAGCAGTTTCCTATATAAGGAACCCAACAGGTTGCATCGAGTCACTGACTACGTTTACATGCAGCCAATATCCGGGTTATGATCGGGTTTCTGAGTTGATCAGAATAACCTGTCTACAAGCATAAATAGAAAGAGTTACCCATAACCCGATTTAAATGCGGACGTTGGGGTAGCGTCAAGACGTAATATGCGGTTACCTTCTTGTATATTTCGCTCTCTCTGTACTTTCGGCCGTCAACAAAAGACATAATGTTCATACTTTTCACCAGACTAATGAAGACAGAGGTTTCCTCGTCACTCAAAGTGTGGTGCTGTGCCGCGACTCGCCATGTTGCTCCCAACTTGTTGTTTACTTCCGGTGTTCTGGCGCATACAAGACGTCTCGCTACTCAAAAGACCAAGATTCCTTGCAAACAGAGCATGCGCAGAACACACGCTTTGATGGGGATATCCCGATATGCGTTTACACGACCAAACATTCGGGTTAGAAAAGGGTTACCCCAGGTGTAGTAACCAGGTTTTTAAAAACCCGGTTAAGAGCATATCCGGGTTTTTGGCGGTGTTTACAAGGACCTGCGGAACCGGGTTATGGTGAATATTCGGGTTTTAAAAGGGTTACTGGCTGCATGTAAATGCACTCACTGACTAGTGTCAGATTCTTTACAGCAATCCTCATACTAAGCAAGCATTTAGCGACAGTGGAGAGGAAAACTCCCTTTTAACAGGAAGAAACCTCCAGAGGATCCTGGCTCAGTATAAGCAGCCATCCTCCACGACTCACTGGGGTTTGAGAAGACAGAGATAATAATGAATATGAATGAGCTGAGGGAGCTGCCAAAGCAGAGAGATGCTAGCAAGTGTTTCCACCAGGACCGTTTTAGGTGTGACACACTCTGAGCCTGATCACTTTAGTGTTTATTCACAGAGAGACATCAGCCAATGCTAAGGATTTGTTTACTTGGTGAATTACACCCAGATTAAGTCAACTGCTAGCTTTGGCAAGATGTTAGCAAAATTAGCACATTAGCATAAGGCATCAAATCTTAGCTACAGATATTGTTTTTCCTTTAGAGCAGCTTTAATGTGGGGAGGTAGTGTTGTTGCACTGTTCAATAACAACTAACTGGTAAAATCCTGGTTTTACTATAGAATAAACACGTGTTCTTAGGTTTTGTGTGCTTAAGTCTTGAACTAATAAACAGTTCCAGCATTTAGACCCAGAAAAACCAACTACGGATCAAACTGGACGATTGCTATTTTGGAACTTTACGGGTGAATCGCGTGGCTTCAGAGAAAAGATCAGGAGACAGGAGATGAGAAACGGATTTAATAGAAACGTTGAAAAAGACACAGAAATCAGAGCTTACTCAGATCTTACATCTGCTTCTCTTTTACGCACATATTTTTTTAAATAAGTTGTTAAACTATCTGGAGTAGTGTAGATGGGGTCTTGGAGTCCTCAAAGACAAAAGGAACAAAATAAATACCAAAGATATAAAAAAGGAAATGTAACAGTTTTTGTTTTCCTCACCTTATTTTAAAGTAAGCGATTTTCCCAGACTAAAGCTGACACTGTCTAGTATCTTATTTAAAAAAGCTCTGCTGATTAATACCATTTCAGATTTTCAAAAGTATACATAACAAGATGAATAAAAACGATATTTAAAGAATAAAACAAGTTAAAAAACAGAAAAGAAAAGTATGTGGATTAAGAAAGGGCTTCTTTAACTGTTACATTTTTCAAAACACCAAAAAGTCAAATTTGAGCATCGTAAGCAACTATAGACTCGTGACATCACGCACCCAAGACCCCGCCCCCAGCTTCTGGCTGGGGGGCAAAAAGATGGCACGTCCTGTTGACCCCTGTCAGTTGTCAAGGGGTGATGAAATAAAATCTATCAGTAAGGTTAAAAGTTGTCTTTACTGATTTTATTTGATATATCAGGCTAAAAAGGTCACATTTTCTTTCTTTACTGTTATAATCTGACCTACATGGTTCCTATTTGTGACATAAGCAGCAACATTTCTTTATTCAGACAGATCTTCTGAGGTAATTCCAACACGTACACTGACGAGGACCTGTTTTGATTTAAATGAAAAAGTGAAAATGTTCATGAAGTGGGAAATAACAGGAGTGGAGTTGCTCATTCGGAGCTCATTTGCAGGACAATGTTGAACCTTGACAGGTTATGATTGACTGAACATCAGTCTTTCATGGTTAGGGTAAAAGAGCAGAGAAAGGATGACAGTTGTCTTAAAAAATAAAATATTTCTACAGAAAATGCAGAGAATAACTTAAGAGAATTAGATAAAAATGTGTGTGTGTGTGTGTGTGTGAGAGAGAGAAAGAGAGAGAGAGAGAGAGAGAGAGAGAGAGAGAGAGAGAGAGAGAGAGAGAGAGAGAGAGAGAGAGAGAGAGAGAGAGAGAGAGAGAGAGAGAGAGAGAGAGAGAGAGAGAGAGAGAGAGAGAGAGACAGTTGAAGCTGAGTAACTGGGATGAATGAGGTGTGGCCTCTTTGAGGGTGGTTCACGCTCATGTGCATTCTTCACCCCACACACACTCATGCTCTGATGTGTGTGTTTAATAATGCAGGACGGTCTCAAGGTGTTCAGAAAATCAAACAGGCAAGGAAGCAGACACACCTCCACCAATCTCCTGCTTCATTGTCACACACATGCCACATGCACCAGGACTACGTGTCACTAAAAGCTGCTCGGCTGCATTGTGAGTATCCAGGATGTCCATTTTCTGAGACGGGAGTTTCTGCTGCTGAAGAAGCTTTCTGCACGGTGTCAGCTCTATTCACATCCCAAGGCGATGATCCGATTAACACGAGTGTTCGACTGACACTAAAAAGACAGAATTCACACGCTGTCTTCAACCACTTCCTCCTTCACTCATTATAAAGTATAAAGGATTCAGTAATAGACAGGAAGGGGAAACAGTTGGTGCATTCTAGCTGTTACATCATCATTACGCGCCACATGTTCACAGCCACTTGTTGCATGAGGATAAACTGACATATGTGTCTAAATATGACTTTTTTTCTGCTAAAAGTACAAATCTGTGTTAACCTTTTTGTATCATCTCCAGGCTGGACTATTCCAATGGTCTTCTGACTGGTCTTCCTAAAAAAGCTGTGAAGCAGCTGCAGCTCATTCAGAACGATGCTGCTAGAGTCTTAACAAGAACCAAGAGAACCGAACACATCACTCCTGTTCTTAAATCTCTACACTGGTTACCAGTAAACTACAGAATCGCTTTCAAAGTACTTCTACTAGTTTATAAATCACTCAGTGGCATGAGGCCATTGAGTTTGCCCAACCAGTCTACGTGTATTTTGTGGATTTGGAGAAGGCGTTCGACTGCGTCCCTCGGGAGGCCCTCTGGGGGTACTTCAGGGGTGTGGGGTACAGGCTGTTAGGTCTCAGCATGACCAGAGCTTGTCAGATCCAAACAGGGTGAAGCTGCTTTTAGCTACTATGTTGCTCACAGATGGCCTCAAATGTGCCCCAACTCTAGAAACTTTTAACTCAAAATGGAAAACTGTCATGTGTTCATTTGCCTTTGAATGAATGTTTCTCATGCTGCACCTTCTGCACCTGTAACTGCTACCCTTTAACTCTGGTTTTTATGTTATTCTTACAAATAATTGTATTTGTGTATTTTATTTCTGACATTAATATCTGCTGTTCTGTGTTGCCACAATGATTTGAATGTTTTGTGTTTTTGCTGATCTTGCACCTGAAAGCACACTGACTTGCCTCTGTGTGTGAAATGTGTGATACAAATAAAGCTGCTTTGCTTACACTTTCCAGTGACATACTGTAAATAACATGAATATTAGGGCTGTAAATGGCACTTGTTGCCTGTTCAGAGATTATACAATAAATCACTAAATTGACTTTTTAAAATGTTAAAAATATATATTAGCAGATTTTGATTTATGGAAAAAAAACTATAGTTGTACATGAATCTATAAATAAGTCAATAAATGAATCAAGTTAAAACTGATCTCTTGTCTCTTTTTGTACAAATACTGTTTTATAAAATCAAGTTTTAATAGTTGTTATAGTATATTTTAATGTATTAGTTATTTAGGTAGAAGAAACTTTATATTTGATTTATAAATAAATGTCAAAATTGAAATGTAGCTTTGATTCATCATACTGGGGCAGTTTATGCATAACACCCAACGATGAAACAGTGATTTAAAGAGAAACCTGAGATTTAGGAATATAAATAGTACATCTGAATTATTATGAAATTAGCATTAGACCATATTGGCCAGCTCTATGTTAAACCGTGCAGGTTTTAGGTGAAAAAAAAAATCAATGCAAGGCAGAGTTTGGAGAGAAGTATAAATCAATAGACAGCTCCATGTTTCTGCGAATGTGATTGTATCACACTGTTCCTGCTTACTGCGTGCTTGTTTGAGGACTACGGGGACTTTTCACTTTCTTCTTTGTCCATCTCACTTATTACACAGTGACCTTGCCTGTAGCAGTGTTCAGTGAATAATAGGCTTTTGGGGGATTTCAGAGTTCAGCAGAAAGACAGATGAGACTGTCAGGATGCTGCCAGAGCACGGTGAAGTCCTCCAGCCTGGTGGGTCTACCAGGGGACAACACAGGTATGGAAGGTTATATGAACTTATACTCTGATTTATTACTCTCGGTACGCTCCTATCTTGGGCAGGATTATTAAAACTGAAGTATTGTCTTCAATCTGCCAAACTATTTGTGATCAAAGTGTCTGGAAAAAGATACCAGACATGGTTGAGTGTATATATTAGGTGAGACTTAGTAGCATCTACACAAATATATTCTCGGTGATGATAAAACCTTTCTAGTTTTACATTTGTTTTCTAAGGAAACACTAATCAGAAGAAGAAATAACACAAAACAGTCAGCTATGATGTCTCTACTTGTTGGGTCTCTAAAGCATCAAATTACAAATAATAACAAAAACTGGAACCTAATAACCAGCCAGTGCATGGAAAACTAACTACTTATTTATCACTTCTACAAGAATTAGCAGGTATTGAAATGGTGCTGCTGTGGCTAAGTGGCTTAGAGGAAAAGTGGCTGACTGCCAATTGGAGGGTTGCTGGTTTAATCCCCATCAGAGGTGCCCCTCAGGACTCCCTTCAGACAGTTTATCTCAATGGTTACTAAAGACTTCGAGAACTTTTCTTGACAGAAAAATTTAATTGTGTGTTCAATCAAGATTTAAGATCATTGTACTGTCATTGCACAAGTTGTCAGGATCTGGGGTGAGTCTGCACATTCAACTAATTACCACCAAGTCGTTGCAGGTGAGCGGTGCCGGAGAGTGGCCAGCTGCGGTGTGTTTCCCATCACCTGCCAGGGTTTATAAGGAGCTGGGAGATCACTTCACCTCGCTGGAAGATTACTCAACTTGGGTAGTTCTGTCTTGCCTTTAGTACAAGCTACAGTTCTTATCACAGTTTATAGATCGCTACAGTTACTGTTATCTCAGTCCTAGTAGCTACAGATGGTGTTTGTGCTCTTAATGAGCGTAGTAATCATTCGCCCTGCTTTCCTCAGGATCATCTTCAGACCTGCCTCATCCAACCTCAGCCATAATCTGGAACCGTGCTACAGATCTCCCTCCTCCTGGTGGACCCCACCGCTCTCCTCCGCTCACCTCTTGGATCACGCCCCAGTACCAACACCTCTGCCACAGCTCACCCCAGATCTGCCCAGACATCAAAGCCAGCTTCCTACAGTAAGACTCCTCCGAAGAATTTATTCCACTTCAGCCACAAGATCCTCACCTCTGTCTATCCTACAGACCCCGGCCACCGGAAAGAGCGCTCTGCGCCTTTGCTACCCATCTCCACATTTTGTGGTGCATCTTTAGTTCAGTTAAAAGAAATAAAATTGTATCTTATTTTTTCCTACCTCTGTCTCCGAATCATTCTGCATGTCTTGGGTCAGGAAACTCCCCTCAGTCATGTCACAAGTGTACAATAAAATTGACTTTGTTCTCACTAAAGACAGCTCACATAAGGAGGTACTAAAATATAAGTAAAATCAAATTATAAGGCTAAAAAAGAAGACACACACACACACACACACACACACACACACACACACACACACACAGCGGTTGCCTGGTGGTGCATGATTTCATTGCCCTGTATCGTTTACCAGACAGAAGTCTGAAGAGATGGTTAGCAGGTAGGGTTGAGTCCTTTAGGAAGTACAATGCAAATAAAGAGGTTTGGCTATAATAACTAACAGCCACGTACACATCAGAGCAAATAGCTTATAACAGCTGTCAGCATGGTGGTGGAGGGGGATGATATGGGCTTGTTTTCCAAGCATTGAGCCAGGCATGAACATGTTTGAGCTATGAACTATAATCCCAAAGAGCTGCACGATGCCAGCATGGTGCCAGAACCAGAAGAATGATGTGATTAGAAAGATCATATCTCTCCTGTCTTAGCTTCCCTACATTGGCTACCTGTTAAATTTAGAATAGATCTTAAGATCCTTCTTCTCACATATAAAGCTCTTAATAATCAAGCTCCATCTTACATCAGTGACCTGATTGTTCCACACGTTCCTAACCGAGCACTTCGCTCTCAGACTGCAGGTCTACTGGTGGTTCCAAGAATATCTAAAAATAGGATGAGAGGCAGATCTTTTAGTTATCAGGCTCCCGTCTTGTGGAACCAACTCCCAGCTTTAGTCCGTGAGGCAGACACCTTGTCTACTTTTAGGACTAGGCTTAAAACATTTTATTTGATAGGGCCTATGGTTAAAATCGGATGTTAGCCTGGATCTGGACAAGTGGGGGAGTAGAGGGAGGTGGAGTGTACAGTCGGTAAAGACGGCTCTCCCTTGCCCTGCCTCCAACATGCCTCCATTTTTAAAGGCTAGGTTATCAAGAGTTATCTCTGTAGCTATGCTGCTATAGGCTTAGACTGCTGGAGGACACACTGACCACTTTCCACACTCTACTGCTTTCTTCTACAATTTGCTCTTTAACTGTTTTATTTCCTGCAATTTCAGGTGTTAGCTTTATTTTTTCTCTAAGTGTTTTTCTCCCCAGAAGAAGCTACAATGGTGTTCCGCTGAGCTGTGGTGGCCTCATGGAGGGGGCCATCGACTAGCACACTGCTGCTAACCATTTAATCATTCTCCCTCTCCTGATGATAACATTAACTTTCCTTGACACTGAATATGCTACTACTAGTTTACCTGTTGAATTAATTATAGATCCACTAGGATAAATACAATAAAGTTTATCTCTCACCAAATAGAATAGATAGATAGATAGATAATCTTTATTGACAGACTTTTAGGTCCAGATAAAATATATATCAAACAACAGATCAATGAAACAAAATAGATAAATAGAAATAAAAGATAACAGCATAAAATTGAATACAAATCTAAATGTAATTTAAAAACTTTACTATAAACTAACCCACACAAGGTTAACCACACAAACACTTCAACCAGTGTTTCCTTATACTGGACAAATAGCGACAACTGCTCACAGTAGGATCAGTGATTGCTGAAATTATACTTTTGGCAGAGCTATCCAGTTGGCCTGTAAAAGTGAATATGAGTTTTCTTAAAAGTGCTTTAAAAGTACAAATGCCTGCTGTTACAAACATCTGACTGGCACTGGCCCTCTGGGTATTTTAAGTATGATCCTTAAGGCATCATTGTATGCAACTTGCAGCTTATTCATGCTGCTTTGATTGTAGGATGACCACAGTTGGGCTGTGTAGAGCGGAGTACAATATGCTTTAAATAAAGCCACCTTAACTGGAGGTGAACAAAAACCAAACTTACGAGCTATAGTATTAGCTTGTGCATACAGTTTACAGCACTGTCTGTGGATGTCAGCATCATCTCGCATTTGATCGGTTATAAAGTGGCCAAAGTATTTCACCTATTTACCAAGAAATCACAATGTAACCATAGACACATTACTTGATGTGTGTGTGTGTGTGTGTGTGTGTGTGTGTGTGTGTGTGTGTGTGTGTGTGTGTGTGTGTGTGTGTGTGTGTGTGTGTGTGTGCCCGCTCTCTGTCTACTCGATCCCCAGTGAGTCATGGTGGATGGCTGCTTATACTGAGCCAGGATTCTCTGGAGGTTTCTTCCTGTTAAAAGGGAGTTTTCCTCTCCACTGTCGCTAAATGCTTGCTTAGTATGAGGATTGTTGTAAAGTCACTGACACTAGTCAGTGACTCGATGCAATTTGCTGGGTTTCTTATGAAGGAAACTTTTTTCTGATTAGCTTAATGAACTGATCTGTATTGGAATGTTTATTATGTGAAGTGACTTGAGACGACTCAACGACGTGATTTGGTGCTATATGAATAAACTTGAATTGAATTGAATTTAGAGCTGAAACAACTAATCGATTTAATCGATTATAATCGATTATTAAAATAGTTAACAACTTTTTTAGTCATCGATTAGTTGTTTAATAATCATATTTTACCGCATAAAGTCTATTTTTAACCACAATCTGACATCGGTTACAATCTGTTAAATTTGCCGCCAGTGTGTGGCAGTAATGAGCCACTGATCTACCAGTGGAGCCGTAGAAGAAGAAATGAGCCAATAAGTGCCCTCGGTTTTCATGACGTATCACGTTACTGACGCTCATCTTGCTGTGAGAGATGGCGGATCAACAAGAAATACGGAAGAAAAATAGAAGCGACAAAACAAGAGAAACCCCGGACAAAAACCTCACGAGTATGGGAGCACTTCACTAGATGCCTTGAAAAGACCGGTGACCTGCAAAATATGCAAAAACCATGGCACGACGGAAGCACGACGTCCCTAAGTGAACATTTGAGACGAAAACGTGGGGGCTGATGCAGCAGAGGAATGTCCGGTAAGTAACAGAAAATAAACAAGCTAACGCAGATCACATTTGGGACTTAGTGTTAGCTGAGTTCGTTATAGTGGATGTTAAACATGTTTTTTTTTTTTGCCGCGTCAGTTTACGGTGTTCTACTTCTGATTGACTAGATGCAATCGTGAATCTCCTCCGTGTTGTGAATCATGCGCTTGCCAAATTCAGCACGTCTGTTTATAAGAATCTTCTCCTTAAGAGAAAAACGGCACAAACCCATAACTATGTTCCTCATTCAAAAAAGGACAACTCCGCGGTGAAAAATATACAGACGAGCTGTGTCCAGGTGAATATAACGCGGCATAGTTGTACGCTTTCAATTTTTAAATACAGGAGAAATTCAGAAAGTCCTTTTTTTAACTATTAAAAGGCTGTTTTACTATCTAACGCCGTAAAACGCCTCACAACACATTTTTGTCAAATTAAATGATCACTGTATATTGTTAATTAATTCAAATAATGTAATATTGATTTAGTGTTGTAGTGTGTGTGCTGCTTTATTTTATATGTGTACTTAATTCAGTTTATTTGTGTTTCTTATGCAGAAAAAAACAAGCAACGATGGACAACTACATGGGCAACAAGACACTCACCCCCAGCAATGCATACCACTTACAAACTCTATTCCAGATTCTACATTATTTTTTATGGAATTTACCTCTTATATTTTGATGCCAAAAAATTATTCTGGACTGATATTTTGCACTGTTTAGCTCATTTTACACCGCTGACTGTGTTCATGTGCAATAAAATAGATTGCAGTCAACTGCACAATTCTCTTATGTTTTTCTTTTTCTTAACTGAAATTATTCATCTTTTGTATAGGTTAAATAGCTAAACAATAACAAACCGATTAATCGATTAATCGAAAAAATAATCGACAGATTAATCGATTATGAAAATAATCGTTAGTTGCAGCCCTAATTGAATTACGGGCGTATGTTGGATCATTGAAGGGAACATCTTGGTAACATTGCATTCCATTGTTTGGTTCTTTTCTAAACATAGAGTACTGACTTGTTTTTTATTTTAGCTGACAAGTTTCGACTAACGCTGTAGTCATCCTCAGAGCACTGTCAATGTTGGTGGCGTCACGTTTATCTCAGTTTAGAAAAAAACAAACAATGGAGTTTGATAGATTGCACAGAACAAATGTTCAAAAGAAAATCTGGCAAACACTAAAGAAGAGTCACTATCCATGCTGTAGGAGGGTTTTCTCATTTTGCTATGATCCAGACATGTTCTAACAGGTCATGAGGGTCACAACAGTGTCTTAATCTGGTATAGAGGTCATAAAATAAATGGGCCAATATTTACCTGCAGCATAGACTCATGCACTTAGCTTATTTTTTATGTGATGATGATTGTCGGTTAAAAAATTAAATCTACCATTGAGACGCCTGTTTATTTCTTCTTGAATTGTGTCGCCTTTGGAAGAAAAATGCATTAGTGACCAATGAGGAGCTTGTTCTGCTTTTGACTCGAACGCAGAAACTTTCCTCAAGAGCATTTTTATTGTTTCAATCAGAAATAAGCCCCATTCATTTACATGGAGGGGGTGAGATCTAAAACATATACCGCAGCCAAACACTAGGGGGCTTCAACCTCCTCTTTACATTCCTGTGTCTAGCTGTGACAAGTGTGGATGTTCTGCAGTGAAAACATCTGGCTTCCAGCTGTGGTTAACGTACAGTTGAGTTTAAGGAGGAGACACTGTAACAGCTGACTGCTTCTGACTGTTAAAAAATATGTTCTGATCATTAAACTCAACTTTAAAAGATCTATTAGTTACTCCTGTCAGAAAACTGGTTATCCCTCTGATGCTGAGTGGCTCTGAGCCAACAGAGGTGTAGAAACACATATTTACACATATTACAGGCTTAGTGTTTGATTTGTGTTGATTTTCAAAGTTTTAATAAGCAGCTCTTCCTCCTTATGCGATTTATCTTTTACTCTCGGTTTCTTTTTCCTGCTTCCTTTCCCCATTTCACACCATCGTTCCCTCTAACCTTCTTTCTTATATCCATCTTTCCTCCCCCTGTCAGCTCTCACTCGATCCTCGTTCTCTGGGTGCCTCATTCTTAATCTGGAGACCGAGAGCTGGAGAAATATCGATCAGCAGCAGCTGAAGGCAGATCGAGAAGGAAACAAAAAGACAGAATGGAAAAAGACGAATAGAAAGGGCAGCCGTGAACAGGCTCCTGACAAACGTTTCAGAAAAATGTTAGAGATTAAAACAGTGATGACAAGATGGACAGAGAAATAAATATCTAAAATGGCTGCTATTTGCTCAGGTGCGGAGGAGGAGAGGAGAAAACGTGACGTTATTAAAGGATGAGAAATAGGAAGTGGAATTACAGAGGTGAAAAGAGTTGACGTGAGGATCAAAGAGAAAGAGAATGGATAGAAATCAGAGAGAAGCCTGGACACGAAGGCACGGTGGAGTTAGATTCAGTAAATCAGAGGTAAACAGAGATGTGCAGCGCAGCAGGGAGGCAGATGGAGCGACATTTACAGAGAACCCATGATTGAATAAGCATGAAGGTTAAAGCCATTTTCTCCCCTTGTAGCCAAACACACACACACACACTTACAGACTCATCCATTCATGCACACACACACAACACACACACACACACACACACACACACACACACACACACACACACACACACACACACACACACACACACGCACACTGTCAGGACAAATGTGTGTTTTAGAGCTCAATCGAAGTGATCGCACAATTACCCACCATTACTAAAGTACAGGATACTGTTCTTTAATCCTACAGTAATTACAGAATTAGAGATTATTAGCAGCTTCAGAAAGTAAAGAGTTTTCTCCTCTGCAAAGAATTTGAACCACAGGATGGTGGGTTCCAGTATTAACTATTGATGAGGTCAAAATAAAGTTAAGAAATCCAATAGTTGCTTTATGAGTTGTAAAATCCCCCGTGTGGACGCGGCTCGCTGCAGGCGGGTTTGATGCAAACAAAAATAAGAGCTACAAGTGTAACTGGAATGGTATAATTCATGGAATGCTGTAGTACGTACCCCCAGTGGCAAACACATTTCAGACAAAGATAATCTGTATTAATTCAATTCAATCCAAAGATACTTTATTAATCCCAGAGGGAAATTAGAGTTTCAGTACACACAATTCAGAGATCAGACATACATGGGCAAGACACATGACAAGAACTGGTGACTGTGGTCATTTGCAACCCTGAGTCGCGCTACCTTAATAGAGATCAGAGGGGTTTACAAGAGGATTGGTTCAGGTGGAGGGAAAAAAAGGCACTTCAAAGTTACCCTCCCACCAGGAGGGCAGCTTTACTCTGCAAAAAAAAAAAAAAAAAAAACACCTCAGACAGATATGCAACAGACTTCAGACATCACACAACATAAGTGTCCACTAGGTGGGGTGGTGGGTTTGGGACTATCCACACTTCAGTTCCTGCAGCCACTACAAGCGGCGCATGTCACCTCAGTCTGAATAGGGGGAGGAGCATTGAGGGTTGGAGGGTTGCAGTGACCCTGGAATGATTTGGCGGCCTTCCCGCAGTCCCGCCCAGACTGGGATAGGAGACAGAGTTGAGTTTCCAGAGACAGAGTTGAGTTGCCATAGAGATGGCACATTCCACATATCTTCTGAGGGGGGAGTTTTCGTTGGAGCCTTGCAGGCTCAAGGGCGCCAGATTCCGGTTAGAAATTGTTTTGGGGCCAGACAGAGATAATTTCCTCCCTGTCTTAAAGTTCCTTGGTCCTCAACCTCTCAGAATCCCAATAATGGACATTAATCTATCCCAATTCGTGCTGATTCGTCCACTCTATCCTTGATGGCATCCATCTTTTGTGCCAATGAATGAATCTCAGCCAAAGTTCCAAGCTTACGATTCATCTCGACAATTATGTGAGTCTGTGAATTCACAGCGCGGTGCAAACCATCTCTGAGCTCCGGGAGCAAGCCAATATTCCTCGACAGCTCATAATTTTATGGTAAGCCAGGAAGCCTCCAAGGCCAATGAGCAGGAAACCTGACAACCTGAAATCTGACACCAAATCCACGAATATCCAGGAATATCCACAATATTAATGCTAAATGCATGTGATTATTTCGAATATTACAGGGAAAATGTCACCCACACTAACCTGGTCTTATGTAAACCACGAGTTACGTCATGAAATGACTACAAATAACTACGCTAGTTCCACTAGCCTCATCATGACCTGACCTACTTATTTACCTTCACTTCAATCGAACACAGAGTAAATTATTAGTTCAAATACCAACATGTTCTAAAGGAATGCAAGAAAAAAACAGCCCAGAAGAACACATAAGGGCAGCGGCAGCTCAGGAGGTAGAGCGGGTTGTCAAGTAATTGGAAGGTTGTAGGTTCGATCCCAGCTCCCACCATAGAATGCTGTTGTGTCCTTGGGCAAGACACTTAACCCTTCCTGCCTGCTGGTGGCAATTGGAGGAACCGGTGGTGCCAATGCTTGGTGCCCCAGGGCAGCTGTGGCTACATTGTAGCTCACCTTGGGGGGGTTTAGAAAACCTGAGAAGGTGCTGTATAAATACAGGTCATTATTACCATATAAAGAACTGCAGATCCGGTAGTAGGGCTTGCAGAACCTCCACACTTCACTGGGTCCTCCCTTCATGACACACTCATGTATTTAGCAACAGAACACCACTGGTGTGAGAGGTTCTCTGCTCAATAACATCAGAGAAGGAGAAACAGCCAGCTGCTACCACTTGGACAAACTACAAGAGGAGCTCTGCGCTCCTCTGACAAAGGCCTGCTTGCTGTCCCCCGTTCTAAGTGCCATACTCGTGGGGACCGGGCTTTCTCAGTACTAGCACCGTCACTCTGGAACCAGTTGCCACCCTCATTTAGGCTGTCCCCATCTCTGCCAGTCTTTAGGAGTCGCCTAAAAACCCACCTCCTCCACTTGGCGTTCCCTGAACGTGTTTGAATTTGGCCCTCTTTCATGTTGATTGTATTTCCCTGTTTTCATTGGTCTCTTTATCCCTTTTTTTTTACCCATTTGTCTTCTACTTTAATGTTTTTCCTTTTTTTTGTAATATTTGAATAGCTTTTATTTTCGATTTATTCATCATATTTAACTTTTCTCATGTACCATGTTCAGTGCCTTGGGCTTCCCGACAGCGTCGCTGAAGGTGCTTTATAATTAAAGCATTGATTGATTGATTGATAAGAACCGTAAGTCCTCCGCACAATTCAGATTCCTTGTTCCCTCCTCGAGTTGGATCTAACTCCCATCTGTCCACAGATTTCCCGCACCGGCTCCCTTGTGAAAGAACTCAGCTATGTTTATGCTGCTTCCTTGGTTTCCCTTTTAATAAATTATTATTTAAACACTTTACCCCCGTCTCCAAGCTGATTCTGTATGTCGTGGGTTAGATTTCTTCACCACAACATGACAAGGGGAGTTCCATGACTGAGTTTATGTTTTAAATCTTGTTCTGTAGATTTGCTACAACAGCTTTAATAAAATATTGAAAGACTGCATAGGTTACATACTGTAGATGTTTTTGAATGTATTTAATAAAATACCTCTGGGGAATTGTTCCTGTTAAATTCACATACCAATATTAGTACATGTAGGTCGGTGTCTGCAAGTATTAAGGCCATTTTTCGCTTCCTATGCTGTGATTCCTTCTCCAGAAACTGTAAATACCCTTTCCTCATCATAAGTCCATCAGAACAGAAACTCCTGTTTACCTCCTGCTGTAGAAGACAAGAAGTG